AGATCCGCCTTGCGGCAACTGGGAAAAGGGGGGGGGGGGGGGGGCCACAGAGAGAGAGAGAGAGAGAGAGAGAGAGAGAGAGAGAGAGAGAGAGAGAGAGAGAGAGAGAGAGAGAGAAGAGTTAGTGTGCGTAAAATGAGATGTTGAAGTGCTTCAGAATTACTCCCATACTAGAGCATTCAAACAAGACGAGAGAAGAGAGAGAAAAGGAGAAGGACAAGTACTAATAGAAGGTAGGAAGAAAATGGAAACAGAAAAAAAAAAAAAAAAAGTCAAATCAAATCAAATGTGATTTTCTTAAATGCTTGACAGTAACGGAATAGCACTCAGAGGAGTAAGCCTGGGGTGTGATTTCCATATGATTTTTTTTACTTTTTTATTTTTTTCGACATGATTTTTGCTCGAGCGACTAGAGAAACAAGAGGAAGACAATGGAGAGAGAGAGAGAGTGAACTGCAGCTTCGAAATGCTAAAGAGTTATTGAGCAACAACCCAGAACAAGAGAAACGGGAGGAAAAAAAAAAAGACCGCATGCGGAAGAGACAAAGAAAGAGAGAAATAGAGAGAGGGGAAGGGACAGAGAGACACACACAGAGAGAGCGACAGAGAGAATGACGACTGTGCATACAATGTCATGTCGAAACATGAAGATATCGAAATCCATGAAGGAGAGTCGAAGAGGAATTTCAAAACCTTAACAGTGACGTTTTTCGGTTTTGTTTAAAAAAAAAACTTAACAGATCCTAAACGATCCCGGGAGCGAACCAACAGACCAACCACCGAACCAAGGACCAAGCGCATGAACCAAGGAACTCACAGAGTCACAGCCGTTGAAAAGACCCAGCGAGAGAGTGAAGTGAAGGACGACACAAATGAAAGGCGGAGGAGAATGCGCGGGGCATCAAGAGACAGGATGTTTTGAAATAAGAGCCTTAGGCACTGGGCCCGTGTTATTTAAACAAAAACAAAAGAAAAAAAAAAAGAGACGGGATGGAGGTTCTGAGGAGATGAGAGACAGACCTTGGCCGTCGGGATGGAGGATAATAATCTACGAGCTCGCCCACTCCTCTTCTTCCTGATATCCTCTCCTCTTCGTCTTTTTCCTCCTCCTACTTCAGGAGCTCGCCCACTCCTCTTCATCCTAATAGCCTCTCCTCTGCTTCTTCTTCTTCTTCCTCCTCCTCCTCCTTCTCCTTTTCCTCCTTGTCCTCCCGGCTACTCCCTCCCCGAGATCCTTCTTGTCCTGCCTTTTTACCACCTCCTCAGCTGCCCCAACTGCTCTTCCCCCCCTCAACCCCACCACCTGTCTCTTATACACATCTAGATGTGTATAAGAGACAGCGGCTACTCCCTCCCCGAGATCCTTCTTGTCCTGCCTTTTTTCCCCCCCCCCACCCGCTCTTCCCCCCCCCAACCCCCCCCCCCCCCCCCCCAACGCCCAATAAAAACGTCTTATCAGGCTCTTTTAGTCCCCCTGGTCGCCGATTTCCCACACCACACCCGGGGCAAGGTCCCACTTGCACGGACTACGAGATGTTGGCCGTTGATCTCGGGTATCTACGGTCTCCATCTCTTAATTCGTGCAAGTGGGACCTAGCCCTGGTCTTTTCTCGCTCCTCCTGTCCACTAGAACCAGTCTATTTATTTATCGACTTATTTATTTATTTATTTGTTTATTTATTTATTTATTTACTTATTTATTATTTATTATTTTTTTTACCAGTCTATTTATCATTCACCGAGCAACTGTTCCTCTCTCACGTACTTCACGAGCTCCACCGCGCACACAGGGCATATTCGCACCAGACCTTTGTTCGACTGCTTTTTTGGCGTAATTGTGGTCAGATGCGTCTCGGAGGGACCATATAATTGCACACAGATGCAGTCTTCCAAATTCCAATGAACTCCTAGTGCGAGCACCGCTCACCCACGCTGAGAACATACTCACAATTCCACTTTTGTAAATGTATTTGACTGCAATTACAGCCAAACGAGGATGAATCTCACCGCAATCCCGTCCGTAGCTTGGTAGAAGAAGTCCTCGTGCGAAAACGCCCTGATGGACACAGGTACCGAGAGAGAGGCACGCACTCTCACAGACCAAAATGGGCGTAACGAACAGCTAAGAGGATAGACGACGTGAATAAGCCCCCACCATTGGACCCCGGGGCGAGGTCCCACTTGCACGGATTAAGAGATTCTAGCCGTTGATATCTACGGTCAATATCGCTTAATTCGTGTAAGTGGGACCTAGCCCCCGGTTTCGAAGCTGCCAATGGCAGCAGCAACTATGGGATTTAATGCGGAAAGGGAAAAGCAATCCACGGTTAGGACAGACTGACAGGAGTAAAAGCAGGATGCTTTTACTGGCACTTACCCAGGATTGGCTGCCGCATCACCCGCCAGGCCTCCCTCAAATTGGCAGGAAGAAAGGACGTGGGGCGGAGGGCCCAATGTCCAGAAAGGGAAAAGTCGAAAAAAACTCCCCGCGACGATCCATTTCCCCCCAAACGGGGAAAAAAGTGCCGAAAAAAAAAGAAAAGTGCCGCAGGTCCCAAAATCACGTTTGGATCCAGGTCCCAAAATCACGTTTGGATCCAGCGGCCTAGCTCAGTTGGTAAGGCACGCAAGTGGCAATCAGGAGGTCTTGGGTTCAATCCCCATTGGCCTCATGTACCTTCGTGGGCATGCTTGGTGCCCGCCACCTAGAGATAGCACGTTGGTCCCCCCAATTGGCATTAAAAAGCAGTCTCTGCTGATGTTCATAGGGTGAGGGGTAATCGGGGAGGCACAGCGACTGGCCACTCAGATGATGCTCGGTCCCTCTGCCGCCGGCTGTCCCCTGGCCGGTGTCCCCTGTTGGGGGTTCCCTGAAAGCAATCAAGGCCACCCTGGGCTGAAAAGGCCACCCGATGTCAGATTAGACACAATATTGAATTTACCTGGGTTGGTTAGTCCGATGATAATACCTCAAGGCCATCGCCCTTTTATAAATTAAAAAAAAAAAAAAAAATCACGTTCGGGGAGGCGGCGACCGAAGCGGCGCTAGCACTGGTGTTCGGGGAGGCGGCGACCGAAGCGGCGCTAGCACTGGTGCGCTTCGCACTCGGTCCTGGAGCTCCCTGCCTTTTGGCGGGCCTGGACGGCGGGGACAGCGTGGAACACTCAACGCAGGTGGCAACTCGACGCGTTTGTGTTGACGAAAGTCGGTGGCGACGGCCATTGTAGATGTTGTTAGCGGCTAGAATTTGCTTTGACGGCATCCTCCGCTCCTCCCGCGCCTTGGTTTTACATGTCAATTGTCATTGATTACATCTGTTTGAGAGTTGGAGGGCGACTGTTACCTCTCTGATTTGCCACAAAGAATGGAGGCGGTACACACACCCCCGGCGGATCAAGATATGGGAATTCAGAATGATAGAGCTCCAGTCCCAAATGATAACTATCTGGAAGACGGGCAAGTGAAAGAAATGGTGAGGGCGTGTCATGAACACGACATCCTTCCAGCAAATATTGATGGAGGCACCATGGAGGTGAATGGCAGAGAAGTCACCTTCGTGCTCAACAGTTTGATTGATGAGTTGAAGGTGAGGTGGCTAAAATCCAGAACAATTATGGTGATATCTCGAGAGGGAGCTAGATTTCTTCCAAGAAGAGTCAAAGAAGACGTCATCCGTGCCTATGAAGATGGGTGGATAAGAGACGATGCCTTTGGAGCGAGCTTCAAGCGTGGCAGAATTAAAGTAGAGTCTACGAATATCGCCTCGTATATTCCCAAGGCACAAGAAGTTACCGACTGGATGCTAGCGAAGAAGACGGATTTTTTCGACTTGGCGGGGACGACGTACTGGACCGACTTCAAGCCGTGGATGACCAGAGTGGAAGCGAGAGACTGGAGGAAGACTATCGATGAGAGCATCTTTTGGGTTGTGGCGATTGGAGTACCTCTGGATGAGATGGTCTTCTTGCAGGACCACGTAGAAAGGGCGATTGGAAGAATAGTCAAAGCCCACATCCCAGAAGCTGACGAGACCGACCCCAAGCTTGTTAACCTTCGCTTCGACATCGACCCGAGTAGGAAAGAGTACATGAAGGACAAAATCTGGGTGAAAACCTGCCAAGGAGACCTGATGGAGGTAAGGATGGCAAGTGCGGACAGTGAATGGTGTAAAAGGTGTGTAAAAGGTGCCGTACCTTTTTCCACACGGAATCGATATGCAGACGTCATGAAAAAAGAGCTTAGGGTGAACCTGCTTCCAACAATTCTCAAGCTTCTGCCGCATCTAGCGCTGGAGCTCCCCGTTCAACGTACCAAGGTGCTCTCCGTGCACTAGGGGTAGTGTCTCAGCAAACCTCTGGAGCAGGAGCTGGCAGTACCGTCTCACCAAGTGTACGTGTTGGAGCCTCAGTACGATCGAATAAAATGTTATCTCCCCTTCCAGAACATCCAAGTGGAGTGGCGGGCTTACAACAACCATTTCCCGTGAATCATGCGGCCAATTTCATTTGGGCGTCCCTCTTACAACTTACAAGGCCTTCCTTCGCACCCATTCCTTCACCAACTGCAAGGTGTTCCCCCTTTGAAGCCATATCTGAATGCAAGCCCGTCATTTGTGAACCTGCATGCTTTTCCTCCTTGGGTCTATGGCCAGGGGAGTCTCCACCAAGCTACGAACCCAGGTATGGGAGCCGCTGTGCAACAACAATAAGGGATGGCCCCGACTGGAGGATCAACTTCACTAGGTGGCGGTCGAGTCCGGGGCAAATCCCTTGGAAAATCACGAAGGTTGAGCGAGGGCAATGGAGTTGATATTCGGGTCGACCAACCACGAGCAAAAGCTTCGAACAACTTTGTTGGCTCGCTCCATTCTGGCTCCCGTACTCCATCGGGAGCCGCAGATAAGCGTAAATCATCTCGTGCCTGCATGGAAACCCTCTCAAAGGGTCAAAGCTGCGTAGAGGCAAGACTGCTACGGATTGTTTGTTCTGCAGGTAGGGATTCGCTATGGGTGATCGCTTGGATTAGTGCTGATGGTAATCCTCTGTTGCTTCATATGGTTTGCCCGCAATCCCCGATGCCTTGTGTCACTGAGAATCTCGCTCAAAATCTGTTCCAAAACAAATTCGCCTTCCAGTTTATTTATGAAATCACCATGCCTCGTTTTATTGTCGATATTGCCAGTTGTTGAGTTAAGTTTTTTGTCCGGTTTCTACTAGGACAGTTGGACACTCTCGAGAGGGAGGGTCTTCGCTTGATTCCACTGTCTTCGTTTCCTGAAGCAAGTAAGCCTGACCTTCGTCGTATTAAGGTCACCACTAATATGTTAGTTGAATTCCTCTATGAGTTGAACACCAAACTGGGCAAGGATAAAAAGTTTGACTCTCCTTTCTTGAAGCAAACTCTGCTCGAACCTTGACCGCAGTCTGTTCTTGTTTCGACAGGTCCTACTTAGATCCAACCGACAGGCGTCTTGCCCATGAATGGGCAGGCTTAAAGTCGCCACATGGAATATCCGTGGGTTAGGGGACTCGAATGGTAGAATTAAACGAGGCCGCCTAAAAAGTTGGATCCATGATAAAAAGGTCGACATCGTATGTTTACACGAGACAAACTTGAAGCTATCTGAATCGAAAGTAATGGAGTTGGGCGTGTGGTGAGATGACCCTCAAATTTGGTCACCAGCTCGTGGGTCGAAGAGTGGAGCTTCTATCTTGGTCTACCGAAATTTAGACTCTGAGATTGTGGATTTTTGTGCGGACCTGTGAGGTCGTTGGTGTTGGATTAAACTTTGGATGAGATGTCAGGAGTGGGTGATTGCATCAATCTACGCTCTCACTAACAACAAAGAACGTGAATCATTTTTCTATGACCTCCCCTTGTTCATTTCTAATTGCGATAATTTAATTATGTCGGGAGATTGGAACACTTCTCTGGATAAGAATGACGAAACTAGGGGTAGTAGGGATGTCAGAATACCTTCTGATCTGATGACCGAGTTAGATTTATCGGAACCCTATAGTCTGTTACACCCTGATAATCCGAGATACACCTAGACTTCAAACATCCGAGAGGGAAGAGGAACTGTTAATAGAAGGCTTGACTTCTTTTTATTATCTCCCTCTGTATGGAATGCTACAAGCAATATCCTTGAATAGGCTAGCACACTATCAGATCATAAACCAGTTACGACTTCCTTCAATGCACCCAAGCTAGAAAGGGGCTCAAGTTACTTTAAAGTTAATACGTTGATTCTGAAAGATCCAGGGATCCATTACTGGATGCATAGATATTGGGACGACTGGAAAAGTAACCAGGACACCTTTGCTTCAACTGTTGACTGGTGGGATGTTGGCTTCATAATCTTCTCCAAACACCTGAGCATTTTCTCCCGCATCCTTGCGGCTGGGAGAAACCAACGAGAAGCTTCTCTGATTAAGAAAGTGGAGTACGCTGAATCTCAGATGAACTTACACCCCATCTCTAATCTAGTGTGCAGCCCTATTAGAGAGAAACATATGGTGGAGCGGGACGCCTACCAGCAAGAACAATCGGATATTTGGGTTGAGCGCCGATTGAAAATCAAAGGGATTGCGGTCTATGACCGCATGAACAGAGACTCCTTTCACAAACTCACACCAAAACGAATGACTCAGTCGATGAGCGTGTTGTTACATCCCTTTGATCATGAACTCCCTGTTGCTTAGGATCAGTCTCAACTTTGTCTATACGCTGCAATGTACTATTAAGATATATTAACAACTAGGCGCCCAAATGAAGGTATAACGGAGGACCTCTCAGAGGGTTCAAATCACTGGTCAGCGTACACAGTCAGACTCTCCACGCAGAGTAAGTTGGATATGGACCGCCCGATTACCGAGGAGGAAGCCTGGGAGGCGCTGCACTCCATGACACATGGCAAAGCCCCGGGAGATGATGGTCGCCCGGTGGAGCTCTACCTGATTATTTGCGGGGATATCAAGAGGGAGCTGGTTGCGATTTACAACCAAGTCTTGGAAGGAAAGAATCTTTTGAAGGGTATGCAAAACGGGGTCATCTCATTACTGTACAAAAAAAAAGATCGTTCAGAGATTCGAAACCGGCGTCCGATCACAGTCATGAATGTGTTGTATAAATTGCTGGGGAAAGTCCTCGCTCGTCGCTTAGGTCCATATTTGCCTTCACTGATTGAACAAAATCAAGCGGCCTTTGTCCAAGGTCACTTCCATCTTCAACAATATAGTTACGGCAGTGAAAACCCTTGAGGTAGTAGAAAGAACAAAATCAAACACCTCAATTCTGATGCTCGAGCTAGAGAAAGTTTATGATCGAGTCAATTGGACTTACATACTTACTACCTTGCGACACGTGGGATTTTGTGAAAACCTGTGTAACTGGGTGGCAGCTCTGTACTCCCTTTCTACTGCCGTAGTTATGGTCAACGACAACCTTTCAAAAACATTTCTACCGACGAGATCTCCACGCCAGGGATGTCCCCTGACCCCCCTCCTTTTTTTTTTGGGGGGGGGGGGGTGGTTCGATGGACTACGAATCAGATATTAAACTGATCAAAACAGATACTACACTTGATCTTAGCCAAAAGGACGAGAAAGGTATTATGCAGATAGACTCTGGCCCCTGGCCCCCCTCCTATTTGTCCTGCAAATGGAGAATTTATTATGCAACATAAGAACACATCCTCATATCATAGGCATTAAGATAGGCTCCGGTCAATGTAAAGTCAAGGCACTAGCCGATGACTTATTTGCTATTTCAGAGAACTCAGTTAATTCAATATCCGCATTGAAATTTTGTCTTGATGAATATTCCAAGCTATCTGAAGCCTCGGTTAATTGGTCTAAATCTATGTTCTTCCTCCCTTATCCTCTCTCACCAGTGGTGAATTGGGGAATGAAGAGAATAGTCGTCGGAAGCTCCGAACATTTCTTAGGTGTTCAGGTAGCCCTACTATCTTGTACAATAGACCAAGAAGGAATACTCCTTCAACATACGCTGCAGAAAGTCTCTACCTGGGAAAAAGCCCCACATCTTTCTCTCTTTGGCCGAATTATGGTGGTTAACGGGGCTTTATTCGCCCTCCTTTAGTTCGTAGTTGCAATCCGTCCTCTGGGGAAAAACTTATGTGCCTTAATCCAGCGACGGGTTTCCAAATTTATTTGGTAGCCATTCGCCAAAGACGTCGATAGTTTTATGTCGAAAGTTGTTTGGGAGCTTCTGTGTTTTTCGAAGGAAGAGGGGGGGATGGGTCTAATCGACCCGCAACGCAAGAGCATAACAATGTTAGTAAGCTGGGTCATTAGAGCTGGGAGCTCAGAGGAAGAGGCACATTGGATTTCCTTGGCAGAAACCATATTGGCTCTGGAATGGAATCTCCCCAGACCATCAGACATCTAGACGTGTCTCCTTCTACCCTCCTTTCTGAACAAAGGCATTAAATCAGAGTTTTGGAAAGCCATTATCTCAGCTTGGAAAAAGCTCTTACCTAACTCCTGGCTCCAACTGACTATGAAATCAGAGGTTCTCCTACAACCACTCTTTAAGAACCCCTTCGCTGCCAATCACTCTCGTCAAAGCTTTGGGAGGAGGTGGATAGAGAGGGGGATTCTGAGAATTGCGGATCTATGGAATGAGTGGGAAAACCAACGGTTGTCCCCGGCAGCACTGAGACAAACTCTCGGTTCAGTGTGGTATGTTGAGGAAAGAATGTGTGCATTCATTGAGGCTATCCCAGCTAAGTGGAAGTTTATCTTAAGCCCGGAGGGGATACACCCCCCAGGCACCTGGTATGTTAGTCGACCAATTCAGTCTCCCCCTAATCTTTGGAAGCTTTTGAGTATTGAGACCTCCGGCAAACGTAATTTTCAGTGTTGGAAGGGTAGTAGCCTTGAAAAGCCATCTATCCTTCTGCAACAGGAAGGTCCCTCTCACCCACCTTTAACAGCCGAACTGGCCCAAGTTCGTGTCTGGGAAGTGTGTGATGATGATGGCAACTGGACATGCAAATTATTTGCTGGTGGAACAACCATTTCAGATGTTAAATTAGATCCAAAAATGTGGGGTTGGAGAGGGGAAGGTTCGGATAGAGAGGACCGGGCTTTGGTTTTCTACTCAGTTGAACAAGGATATTTAGCTCAGATGCCCTCACGTACGCCTGCGTCAGTTGCAGTTGCCAGATGGAGACATGTGTTGCTAATACTTTGCTGGGGTCAAATGAAGATCGCCCCATATCCCAGATTGGCGGTGAATCTCTCAGACTGGCTTTTATCTCTACTTGCTACTCCTTTGGCGGTGAACCTATTTCAAAGAGGAATGAAGGTGGAATTGACTTGCAAACGTTGCAGTTGAGCATATGAGTCTTCCACTCACTTATGGTATGATTGCCCAGCATCCAAGAGAGTATGGGATTGGTGGCAGACCTTTTAGGTCTGCTCTGACATGGGATCGTGAATGGCTTCTCCTCGGTGGTGTTCCTGGACACATGCATCTTAAAAAGGGTTGGGGCTACATAGCTCAAGCAGCCAGAGCGGCAGGTTGCGGCGTCATATGGAAAGAAAGAAACCTGCGGATATTTGAGGACAGAGAAATGACAAACACGGAAATCAGAGTACTATTCAAATCTACTCCGAGAAGACTTATTCAAGCGGATTGGAGAAGGAAGAGCCAAGGAGCTTGGTTTGGGGAAACTTGGGGCATAGGTGGGAAAATGGCGAAGCTTGAAGAAGGAAAATTGGCTTTGGACAGGTGGTTTTGGGAAGAGTAGAAGTGGGGTAGTTTGTGTAAGAACCTGGTACTCGGTTCTCTTGATCCGCAGGAGGATGGCAGTTGGGCATGTCGGCGGAGGGAGTACGTCACACTGTCGTGGTCCATTCCGAGGACCATCCCATCGTGTTAGACGGGTTTTTTTTTTTTTTTTTTTTCGAGAGCCGGTCTCAGGACAGCAGCCTAGATTTGGTCACCTCTGTTCCTAGACTTCCCTGAGCTCTCCTGTGATTGTTGAATGAGCTTGTGGCTCATAAGCGAAACTGGCTAATGGTGCCAGGATAACTCCGGGTTGAATTGTGAGGTCCCCGACCTCGATTTGACCTGCTATATTACATTTCTGCAAAAAAAAAAAAAAAAAAAAAAAAAAAAAAAAAAAAAAAAAATCACGTTTGGTGTCATTTTCGCACCCTGGTGGGCCGCTGGAAAAAAATGGCGTGGAAGTGTTTTGCAGGGTGCAAAAATTACGCGGAAAGTGATTTTGGGGCCTGGGGCACCTTTTTCCTCGTCTGGGGGGAAATGGATACAAAGGTTTCGTCTAGGGGAGGTCTTATGACTTTTCCCGTTGAGAAATGGCAGGCTGTGGGTTGAGATCCCTCTACCCCTGTCCCAGGGCTATTTTCGCAAGGCTGCTCACCAACGGCCCCACGAATGAACGCATACGGGCAATCCGGGCCCCGTTAGCAATTTGACCAATAGAACAATGAGAACAAGGAGGGGCCAAGGCAGAGGCTGAGGTGCCGACCGAAACTGGAGCGTAGGGCTGCTGGTACGGAAAGCGGTGAAGTACAGTGAAGGCAGCTGGTATTTCAACTT